GTTCTCCCTGTGTCAGCGTGGGTTTCCTCCAGGTGCTCTGACATGTTCTCCCTGTGTCAGCGTGGGTTTCCTCCAGGTGCTCTGACATGTTCTCCCTGTGTCAGCGTGGGTTTCCTCCAGGTGCTCTGACATGTTCTCCCTGTGTCAGCGTGGGTTTCCTCCAGGTGCTCTGACATGTTCTCCCTGTGTCAGCGTGGGTTTCCTCCAGGTGCTCTGACATGTTCTCCCTGTGTCAGCGTGGGTTTCCTCCAGGTGCTCTGACATGTTCTCCCTGTGTCAGCGTGGGTTTCCTCCAGGTGCTCTGACATGTTCTCCCTGTGTCAGCGTGGGTTTCCTCCAGGTGCTCTGACATGTTCTCCCTGTGTCAGCGTGGGTTTCCTCCAGGTGCTCTGACATGTTCTCCCTGTGTCAGCGTGGGTTTCCTCCAGGTGCTCTGACATGTTCTCCCTGTGTCAGCGTGGGTTTCCTCCAGGTGCTCTGACATGTTCTCCCTGTGTCAGCGTGGGTTTCCTCCAGGTGCTCTGACATGTTCTCCCTGTGTCAGCGTGGGTTTCCTCCAGGTGCTCTGACATGTTCTCCCTGTGTCAGCGTGGGTTTCCTCCAGGTGCTCTGACATGTTCTCCCTGTGTCAGCGTGGGTTTCCTCCAGGTGCTCTGACATGTTCTCCCTGTGTCAGCGTGGGTTTCCTCCAGGTGCTCTGACATGTTCTCCCTGTGTCAGCGTGGGTTTCCTCCAGGTGCTCTGACATGTTCTCCCTGTGTCAGCGTGGGTTTCCTCCAGGTGCTCTGACATGTTCTCCCTGTGTCAGCGTGGGTTTCCTCCAGGTGCTCTGACATGTTCTCCCTGTGTCAGCGTGGGTTTCCTCCAGGTGCTCTGACATGTTCTCCCTGTGTCAGCGTGGGTTTCCTCCAGGTGCTCTGACATGTTCTCCCTGTGTCAGCGTGGGTTTCCTCCAGGTGCTCTGACATGTTCTCCCTGTGTCAGCGTGGGTTTCCTCCAGGTGCTCTGACATGTTCTCCCTGTGTCAGCGTGGGTTTCCTCCAGGTGCTCTGACATGTTCTCCCTGTGTCAGCGTGGGTTTCCTCCAGGTGCTCTGACATGTTCTCCCTGTGTCAGCGTGGGTTTCCTCCAGGTGCTCTGACATGTTCTCCCTGTGTCAGCGTGGGTTTCCTCCAGGTGCTCTGACATGTTCTCCCTGTGTCAGCGTGGGTTTCCTCCAGGTGCTCTGACATGTTCTCCCTGTGTCAGCGTGGGTTTCCTCCAGGTGCTCTGACATGTTCTCCCTGTGTCAGCGTGGGTTTCCTCCAGGTGCTCTGACATGTTCTCCCTGTGTCAGCGTGGGTTTCCTCCAGGTGCTCTGACATGTTCTCCCTGTGTCAGCGTGGGTTTCCTCCAGGTGCTCTGACATGTTCTCCCTGTGTCAGCGTGGGTTTCCTCCAGGTGCTCTGACATGTTCTCCCTGTGTCAGCGTGGGTTTCCTCCAGGTGCTCTGACATGTTCTCCCTGTGTCAGCGTGGGTTTCCTCCAGGTGCTCTGACATGTTCTCCCTGTGTCAGCGTGGGTTTCCTCCAGGTGCTCTGACATGTTCTCCCTGTGTCAGCGTGGGTTTCCTCCAGGTGCTCTGACATGTTCTCCCTGTGTCAGCGTGGGTTTCCTCCAGGTGCTCTGACATGTTCTCCCTGTGTCAGCGTGGGTTTCCTCCAGGTGCTCTGACATGTTCTCCCTGTGTCAGCGTGGGTTTCCTCCAGGTGCTCTGACATGTTCTCCCTGTGTCAGCGTGGGTTTCCTCCAGGTGCTCTGACATGTTCTCCCTGTGTCAGCGTGGGTTTCCTCCAGGTGCTCTGACATGTTCTCCCTGTGTCAGCGTGGGTTTCCTCCAGGTGCTCTGACATGTTCTCCCTGTGTCAGCGTGGGTTTCCTCCAGGTGCTCTGACATGTTCTCCCTGTGTCAGCGTGGGTTTCCTCCAGGTGCTCTGACATGTTCTCCCTGTGTCAGCGTGGGTTTCCTCCAGGTGCTCTGACATGTTCTCCCTGTGTCAGCGTGGGTTTCCTCCAGGTGCTCTGACATGTTCTCCCTGTGTCAGCGTGGGTTTCCTCCAGGTGCTCTGACATGTTCTCCCTGTGTCAGCGTGGGTTTCCTCCAGGTGCTCTGACATGTTCTCCCTGTGTCAGCGTGGGTTTCCTCCAGGTGCTCTGACATGTTCTCCCTGTGTCAGCGTGGGTTTCCTCCAGGTGCTCTGACATGTTCTCCCTGTGTCAGCGTGGGTTTCCTCCAGGTGCTCTGACATGTTCTCCCTGTGTCAGCGTGGGTTTCCTCCAGGTGCTCTGACATGTTCTCCCTGTGTCAGCGTGGGTTTCCTCCAGGTGCTCTGACATGTTCTCCCTGTGTCAGCGTGGGTTTCCTCCAGGTGCTCTGACATGTTCTCCCTGTGTCAGCGTGGGTTTCCTCCAGGTGCTCTGACATGTTCTCCCTGTGTCAGCGTGGGTTTCCTCCAGGTGCTCTGACATGTTCTCCCTGTGTCAGTGTGGGTTTCCTCCAGGTGCTCCCACATGTTCTCCCTGTGTCAGTGTGGGTTTCCTCCAGGTGCTCCGACATGTTCTCCCTGTGTCAGTGTGGGTTTCCTCCAGGTGCTCCCACATGTTCTCCCCGTGTCAGCGTGGGTTTCCTCCAGGTGCTCCGACATGTTCTCCCCGTGTCAGCGTGGGTTTCCTCCAGGTGCTCCAGCTTCCTCCCACAGTCCAAAGACATGCAGGTTAATTGGTGACTCTAAATTGTCCGTAGGTGTGAATGTGAGTGTGAATGGTTGTCTGTCTCTATGTGTCAGTCCAGTGATAGTCTGGTGACCTGTCCAGGGTGAACCCTGCCTCTAACTATCTGTACATTTTCATGAATGTTGAAATTAACCATAGAGACCAAAACCGTTTTTTGTACTAGGCTGTAAACATTTGTTTTGGCAAGTTCAGCATTTTAACATGGAGGTCCATGAGGATTGAGTGGTTTTGAATAGAGGATTGAGGATATAGTGGCCATTAGAGGAACTGCAGTTTATAGAACTTCTGTGTTGGCTTCATTTTTCAGCCCCAAAGGCTGCCACTTGGTGGTGCAAAAGCATTCTGTTAACCAATCCACACCGACTCTGTCTTTAATAAACATCTTAGGGTTCAGTTATGCTCAACATTAGATATGAACACAGAGACAGACAGAGCATTCTGTCCGTACTCTCCATTCATTTCGTCAGTGTTTGTGCACGTTTTCTGAAAGCTTACTGATATGGAGGCAGTGTAGTGTAGTTTTAGTGAAACATGACCTTAGGAGACGACGAAAAAATTATTAAATGATGGCGAAATGGAACGGTAATATAGTAAAAATAAATTCTCTCTCTTGACATGTCGGGATGTATATGTGACAGGGTCAGTGTTGATGGGGGTTTTTATGCATGTTTTAATAATACTTTTCTGCATGTTTTAGTCTATTTATTTATTTATTTATTATGTTTAAGTTGTTGTGCTAGTTTTAATCAAGTTTTAAGGGATTGTTTTTATTGTGTAGTGAATATTTTTGCATGCAGTGTTGTCTTTTCCCATCGTCCCTGAAAGCAACAGACACTGACCAAACCGCAGGCAGCAATCAGCGAATGAGCAACAGGTGTGGCGCGCAGAACGGTGAAAAGGGAGGAAAGAGGAAGCGGAGGGCAGAGAGCAGCGCATATATAACGGCTACACAACCTGCCATCTACAACACTGCCTCTGTTTGAAGGTACAGTATAACAACCTCTGCCACCATCACCAAGTTTGTTGTTGAGTGAATTTTTTTGCATTCTATTAGACGTTTGTCAATCAATTAATCAATCAATTTTATTTATAAAGCCCAATATCACAAATCACAATTTGCCTCACAGGGCTTTACAGCATACGACATCCCTCTGTCCTTATGACCCTCACAGCTGATCAGGAAAAAAACCCTTTAACAGGGAAAAAACGGTAGAAACCTCAGGAAGAGCAACTGAGGAGGGATCCCTCTTCCAGGACGGACAGACGTGCAATAGATGTCGTACAGAACACATCAGCATAATAAATTAACAGTAATCTGTATGACACAATGAGACAGAGAGAGAGAGACAGAGAGAGACAGAGAGAGAGAGAGAGAGAGAGAGATGCAGGTAATGACAGTAGCTTACAACAACATTATTGAAAGTAATAATATTATAGTTATAGTTCTGGCTACTGTGGTACAATATGTTGAAAGTATGTATTAATATCTGGCAGTATACATGTGTGACAATAATCATATGTGTATAATAACAGTAGAAGCATGACTAATGACTAATGATGGCAGCAGCAGCAGGAGGCATCTGGCAGGACCACGGCAGCAGCACAACCACACACGTCACACTGTCCAGGCACCGCTGCGAAATTAAGTCATAATTAGCATGAGTTATGACTTAAAACAGGTTTTGAGGGGTCATAGTTACCTTTGACCTCCAAATTCTAATCAGTTCATTGTCAGTTCATTGACGTTTGTGCAAAATTTGAGGAAAATTCCCTCAAAGTGTGCTTGAGATATTGCGTTCACAAGAATGAGATGCAAGGTCACAGTGACCTTGACCTTTGACCACCAAATTCCAATTGGTTCATTGTTCAGTCCAAGTGAACGTTTGTGCCAAATTTGAGGAAAATTCCCTCCAAGTTCTTCTCAATAAATTGCATTCAAAATGATGACAAGGATGCAAGGTCACAGTGACCTTGACATCTGACCACCAGATTCCAATCGGAATTGTTGTTGTGTCCAAGTGGATATTTGTGCCAAATGTATAGAAATCCCCTGCAGCTGTTCTTGAGATATCGCTTTCACAAGAATGAGACTGATGGACAGACAGACAGACAACCCAAAAAACATAATGCCTCTGGCCACAACTATTGCTGGCACTGAGGCAAAATTAAATTAATTTTTTGTCTTTAAACAATGAAGGAAGAAGAAATAACGCAACATAATACATTTATTTGTGTAACCATTTTTACATTTTTATAAAGCAAAAAATGTTCTATCAAAACAAGCTTTTACAAACAAATGCTTGAACTGAAACATTAAAACAACTCAAATAAAACCGTTAGAGATTACTGATGAGTTAGTGCCGTTCTGTTTTGCTGACAAAATTTGTGTCATTCGAATCCAAACCTACAAATCTACCAAAAACATCACACGAACACTCTTCTGTTTAAAACCGTACGGAGGCCCACATATCAAGTACATGTCAGGTACACATATAGATATTTTATTTTAAAAATATCTCAGGTACATATTAAATAACTCTCTTTCTGGGTATTAATTTTTTTACCCATTTAAAGCATGTAACAAACCATTTATAAGGTGACCACATCGCTCTTAAATGATAAATTAAATATTGCTCAGGTGTCAGACAATAAATAGTCTGACAAACTTAACACAGGTTCCACAAATACAGAATTCAGTCTTTACAACACCTTGAAAAAAGATTTCCACGTCTGAGCTCCACAGAGGCTGAACGCCATTGTTAACGATTATGTTTCAGTTAACAAATCAAGATCATGAGAAAAATTAAATTATATTCTATAGATATCACTTTCATAGTTTTCGGACTCTTTTTTTGATATTACCCAAAGGTAGTTAAAATCTATACCAAGATAGGTTCAGTGTTTTAAGGGGAAAAAAGTAACTTTTCAAAAATAATTTTAAAACAGACACAATGTTTCTGTTTTTAAGCACATTGAGTCTGCGCTTGTCGCATGAAATGTGCTATATAAATAAACCTGACTTGACGTTTATAGAAAGCACACTCAAAATTCAGTTTCTTGTTTAAACTTCTGCACTTTGAGTTTGAGATTGTGATGTCATGACATTGCACACATACTGTAAAACACAAAAGGACCACACAAAAAAAATTCTGACAAACCAAATAAAATTATTAACTCGTGATCCTGTACAAACACAAAACATTATGTAATATTACATCCTGTGAATGGGAACTGTCAATGGTATTTCATGTTTTTTTTGTTGGACTTTTGCTCTGGTTGATTTTCCTGATGTGTCTGAAGAAATAGTGAGTTAGGTGTGTAACAAGGTTGAGGTCTTGTTCGAAGTTATCACGGCTTGAAGGTCAGTGCAGTTTTGAGCTGTTGGATTTTTATTTAACACAGGAATCAGATGCCGTTTCAGATGATGGAGGAAAAAGTTAAAAGTTTAAACTAGGAAAGGTTCAGCAACTATGTTGATTTCTAACTAGGGATGCAATGATTGTGAAAATCTGGGCCGATACCGATGTTTAAAATAACAATTTGGTCGATAGCCGATGCTTTTTTGTTTTTGTGGTTTATTTTGTTTTTGTCGTTATTTATTCCCCCTTTTGTGCACAAATTCAATCATTCACAGTTATGAAACAACCTTTAACATTACCTTCTTTAACATGAAAAAATCTTTTAATTACTGCTTCAAAAGTCTTTGTACTAGACATAATATTTCATAATTTCCTCTCTGATATATATTTTATAAACAAATTTCTCCTTCGAATAGCTGTATATTTATTCAAGTTTCTTGCAAAAAACTACATTTTACAAGATTAAATTTGAGCACATCATGACAGCGTTATAATTTACCGTTGCCAAATCCTCATTTTTACCAAACAGACCTTGAAGGCATCATGATGTAATCAAACACATCAGGAAAATCAACCAGAGCAGTTAGTTACAGTCAATGACTGCTAACAGCAAACGTTAACTAGCTCTCCCCCTCCTGCCGATGAAAACACAGATTTGTTCTTTACAACTGGTATTATCAGGAAAACAATGGGGTGAGTTCCCTCACATGTCAATAATGAGTTTATGGCGCCGTTTCGTCCCAACGGTGTCCTGGGGAAGATCTCTGTTCATCCCAAATATGTTCTCTATTGTCCCAGGGACAAGAGGATGCCAATAGTTTCGAGTAATGCATTTTAGCCTGCGCAAAACTGATGTGACACAACAGAAAAACATCGGCCACTGCTATCGGTGAATGCCATCTTATTTGCAGATACACCGATGGCAGTCAACAAGGCGAATATCGTCTGATAACGATGGGCAGCCAATAAATCAGTGCATCTCTATTTCTAACCAACTACAATCTACAAAACAAATGTTCTGATAAAAACTTTTGACTCCGCCCTTTGGTGCCCTCTATTGGCTGTATCTGTTCCATCATAAATGACCAATGGAATTAAGGGGAGGGGGCAGTTACGTTTACATCGTTTGAAACAGATGCATCTTTTTTCGTACGTAAAGGGAGTATAAACAAGCCCTTAGCCGTCTGTCATGTGGATGTGTTATTTTATCTAGGTACTGGACCCCAAGATAGCACATATTCAGTCCAGTGAGAAACGCTCGCCTGGCGTATACCCCAAAAGTTTCTACCTTCCAGGTTTACTTTCACAATATGCAGCCCCCTGAATACACGCAGTAGTGCTGCTGGTCCGGCCCTACACAGATTTTTTAATCTCTTTTCTCAACTTGAGGAAAGTTTTACAAACATAAAATCTGTATGGATCAAAAATTCCAGAGACAAAATTAACCTTGTTTGCAGTTTGCGGTGTCATGTCTATTTTAAGAGATGTCTCTTTTATAATGGTGGCCTAGGGGGGAAATGCTTTTTGGGCCACAGGTGATTTTCTCACTGTTATATGGTGGACACAAGAAAAAATTGGAAGCAAGGCTGAGAGGCATTCCTGTACACCTGGTCTGAAAACTGTCAACAAACTGATCAAAAACAGTTTTCAACAGTGTTTTTATGTACTGGTCCATTGTTTTTATGTTACTGTATTGTACTTAAAATGTAAAAAATATTTAACGTTTCATTTTGTTTCTAAACCGCTCAACGCTTGCGATGAGTGCTTCATTGGTTTTTATGTTAGATGTCAGAATTAACCATCGAGTCTCCAGGAACAGTCTCAGGTTCAGGTTACTTTATAATACCCAAGTGTAAACTAGTTTTACAGTGGATAGTCAAAACATCCATCACAGTTTGAACAGTCGGACCTGATTTCTACAGTAGTTAAACTTGATTTATGAGACCACATGTGTGCTTTTTAATGCTTTAAATTTTTAATGCCATAAATACTGTTGGATTAGTGGGCACAGCTTCACAGAACTTTTCTCTGAAACTAAACTGTAACTATTTCAGTTTGGCACAGATTGGCGCATTTAACCAAACTCAGATGCTTATTATCAGATACAGATTACTTAATATCATCACCAGCTGCCTCTTCAGTTTTTTGACCTAAAACAAATTTAAAGCATCACCAAATTGTTCTAAATTTCATTTCAACACAATAAAAACAACGTTTGGCTTTTTTCCTTCTTTCAAACTTTTCCCCCCTTTTTAACCTTTTACATATTTATTTGAAGGAAAAAAAAGACATAACTAATATTTATTCTATCAGCCTCTGGCCAGTAAGATTAAAATAGATTTTTAAACATCACTAGACAGTTGAGTCTGAGTCTGTCGGAAAATCCAGTTTGGATAAAGCTGGTGAAAAGGCAGCTGACAACGTGGTTGTCATAAAGTTTCTCTGTATTTACAGTGATTACTGATCTGCTCTCTTTGAAGGCCAGGCTTTACTCCAGCACGGTGCTCTTAGATATGAATTGAAGTCCTTCCTCCTTCAGTCTGGCCAGAGCCGGCCCGTAGATATCCTTCGTCATCGGAGTCACTAATCCCTTTGCAGTGATTTCACCTGCAGAGAGAAGACACACAGATTTAGGTTTAAACTTAAGATCAGTAAGGTTTTTAACTGTCAAGGTAGCCGCTGGTTTCAGTTTAGCAGGACTGACGAGCTTTAGCTTCACAGACTGACAAACTAAGGTTAGCTTCACAGATTAACAGGACTAACAAATACTAGCTTCCCAGACTGGCAAACGAACATTAGCTTTACAGACTAACAAACAAATGTTAGCTTCACAGACTGACAAGATAAACTATGGTTAGCTTCACAGATTAACAGGACTAGCAAACATTAGTTTATGACTAACAAACTAACGTTAGCTTCACAGATTAACAGGACTAGCAAACATTAGTTTATGACTGACAAACTAATGTTAGCTTCACAGATTAACAGGACTAGCAAACATTAGTTTATGACTAACAAACTAACGTTAGCGTCACAGATTCACAGGACTAACAAAGGTTAGCTTCAGACTGACAACCTAAAGTTAGCTTCACAGATTAACAGGACTAGCGAATGTTAGTTTTACAGACTGACTAACGTTAGCTTCACAGATTCACAGGAACTGCGAACGTTAGCTTTAGAGACTGACAAACTGACATTAACTTCACAGATTAATAGCACTAATGAATGTTAGCTTCACGGACTGACAAACTATCGTTAGCTTCACAGATTAACAGGACTAACAAACGTTAGCTTCACAGACTGACAAACAAGTGTTAGCTTCACAGATTAACAGGACTAATGAACGTTAGCTTCACAGACTGACAGGACTAACAAACGTTAGCTTTACAGACTGTCAAATGAATGTTAGCTTCACAGACTGACAAGTTAAACAAATGTTAGTTTCACAGACTGACAAGACAAACTATGGTTAGTGTCACAGATTAACAGGACCAACGAACTTTAGCTTTAGAGATCCACAAACTAACGTAAACCTCACAGATTAACAGGACCAACGAACTTTAACTTTAGTGATCCACAAACTAACATAAACCTCAAAGATTAACAGCACTAATGAACATTAGCTTCACAGACTGACACATTTACGTTAGCTTCACAGACTGACAGTACAAATTAAGGCCAACTTCACAGTCTGAAGGGACAAACTACCAATTCACAAATGAACAGGATAACCTAATGCTAGCTTCACAGATTGAAAGCATTAGCTACTGTTAGCTCTGCAGACTGTGGGGATAAAACAATGTTAGTTTCTAAGACTGAAAAGACTGGTTAACATTAGCTTCACAAACTGACTAGACAAACTAACAGACTAAACAGACTAAAGTTAGCTTTGTGGACTGACAAGACAAATGACATTTGTGCCACAGACTAACTGGATGAACTAAACTTCACTTCTCGGACCAGAGGCCTGTACTACGCAGCAGGATTTGGGATAAGCAAGGTAACTTAAAGGTTAACCCGTAGTTTTCAGTACTACAAAGCTGGTTCACTTTTATCAGGGACAAATCACAGTGGTTTTATTGTGTGATTGGTATTTACACTTAAACTTTTTTTTTTTACAGTTTTTATTTTACTTAATAACTAAGATGGAAACAATCTCCCAGATTGATGTCACTGACCATCAAGGACCATGCGAGCAGCAATGGCTGCTGGGTATCCTACAGTCTTGGCCATGGCAGAGAAGCCGCTGGGGTCACCGTAAACCACCAGGCTGATGTGTTTGGTCTCCAGCTCGCCAGTTGGGTGGCGAAGCCCGACATCGTTCCTCATGATGATCATGTCTCGCTCGCCCTTATCTAACCAGGGCAGAAAAGTCATTAGTAGTTTAAGTACTAGTATGACATTTGGTACTTGTGTTCTTCTGATTTGTGGTAACAAAATGAACTTGTGTCTCACCAAACGAGAGTTTGACTTCCAGATGTTTTGTCAGAGCAGCCAGCACGTTGTCGGCGTGAAGCACCAACTCGTCATCACTCAGCATCCCAAACCTGAAAACAGAGACAAAAAAACCAAGACTTTTCTCACAATAGAAAAACCTTCACAAAGCCATTTCAAAAGGTTTAAAAGAAAATTACCCTGACAGCGCTGCAGCAGCAGCCCACACATCCTTGGCTAAATCTAAAGAGATGAGCAGTTGCTTTTTGTCGTTGCTTTGCTGGTGAATTGAATAAATGAACAACAAGTCATTCAATTTGAGCTGCGAGCGCGTTGGCTTTTTACTCTTTTAACTGTAAAAATGGAATGTTTCCAACAGTTCACTTTTACCGTCAGAGGAATTTACGTTCCAATGCCACTGTGGCCCTCTTCCCTTCACCGCCAGCGGCAGCAGAACAATGGCGGCACGGAGCCTTGGTCTGAAGAGACCCTTGGAAAAGTTGATTTAAATTGAAGAGTGTGCGCGCTACACCACTTCAGGCGTCCTCATTAAGGAGGGAAGTGAAAACTGTGCAGAAGAGGAGCAGCCTCGGCCTTGTTCTCCGCCCGCAATCCACAGCTCCAACGCTAACTTTGAAGAGCATAAAATGTCAGCCTCTGCCTCATCTCACCAGAGCCAAACAGTACAGACAAATGGGCATCCAAAGAACTTGAACAAGGGGTATTTTGCAGGATTTGGACCGTTTCATAGCACCAAATAACCAGTTGATCAACAGACTGAATAGGAACAACAACATTGTTTTCTGGCCGGCAAGACCAAAAAACAGTAACTGAATGAAGACCAGAATCTAACTTTTTGGCATCTGTTTTACTGTGTAACATATATTCTGTCATACAAATGTAAGTTATTCTATACATGTTTGACAAGAACATGTCAAAAACACACTTAATGCACTCTCTGCAGCACAGACAGTGAAGCTCTCTCCTCATTCATTTTTGGATTTACAAGACACAGTAACAGCAATGGAGTCTTTATTCATCCATGGTGAGGAAAGAAGTTGAGCTGCCATGGGAGCACCAAAGAAGAGCTGGAACAGGAACCAGTATGTACAACCTGAGAGCAAGTCGGGGAAAAAATGCGTTCAACTGAGGGGCAGCAAGGCTTATAACAGGACAGTGGCGTGAAGTGCCATTTTGGGGCACGTCCATGAGACGTTTGGCAGCTGTGTGTTTTGGTCTTAAGCCAAGTTTAGACCAATAATTCGTGACAAGATGAAACCGTTTTGGAACAACGAAGAGAAAAGCTGCAGCAGCGTGAACTGGCCGGTCTGAGCTCGACTCAAGCCGGCTGATGGTGTCACCCGACACTCAGCTGGTCAAATCGGCAGCTGGTCAGCTGGTCAAGTCAAAATGACCACAGACGGCGTGTTGGCTTGCTGCAGCAGGTGCTCCGTCCCCACCGAGCTCCCTGCTGGTTGTAAGTGCTTATGCCCCGCCCACACACACACACACACACACACACACTCTCATTGACTGATAAATTGGCGCTGGTTATTTATATTATTTTGGCGTATTGATTATGAATACAGTCCATCTGATGCTGGTTTTGTTTCATCACTGTAGCCAGTATCTCACTATCCCTATCCTCATTCAGATTTTAAGAAGCTACAAATTATATTCAGCCACAAAATAAGTCTGAAAAGCTGCAAATCAGAACGGAAGCACAGAGAGTTGTTGACTAGAGCTGATACACCGTCTCATGGTAGTGACTTGGTGTGAACCGGCAGGTTTTTAGAACGTTGCAGAACAGCACTTAGGAAGTAGCTGCCTGTTTAAACTCGTCTCGTCCCGAATCTTTGGTCTGAACTGGGCATTAAAGAGCAATAGTTCTACTCCTTCTGGAGCTCCTTTATCCTTTCTATAAGGCCAAGTTCAGCCACTTTACAGGGGGAACTCATTTCTCATTTCAAACCCGGATGGAACGGTGCATTGTATTCCAACAGACAACCATGGCCTCAGACTTGGAGGTGCTGGCTCTCATTCTGACCGCTTAAAACTTGACTGCAAACCGGTCTGCAAACTAAAACTAACTAGCTTAGCAGAGTATTGGGAGCTGACTCTTTAACTGCCTGTTTTTTTACGAGTGAAATTCATGTCCTATGATGAAGTTAATGGAAGAGGATTTATGTCCCTTGGTGATCTATGGTACCAGAAAAGGTTTGTGTTTGAATTTGCATGAGCTATGAATGGACATTTGGACAATGCTGCACAGGAATTTTCATAAAGTTTTTGGACTTTTTAATAACCTTTTTTGCCTTTTTTTACTCTGTTAAAATCTGTTTTCACGGATTCACTTTCATTCACTCCACTCTCAGTGTCATTCAATAGAAAACTTTTTCTGGAACCACAGAGAGCATGGGAAGGTACTATATACAATATATATGGCATTTTTTGTGAACTTTACCTTTGAGACCTTGAAATCACACATTTGGATTCATAGCCTTGTAGATTACTATATTATTATTTTTGTATGGACTATAAATAATTAAAATAAGGTTTTGGGACAAAAAAGCTGAAAGACCACCTTTTGTCGTAGCTCTAACCTTTCTATCTGTTAACAGTTTGCCGGCCAACCTGAAAACTTTAAACCTTTTTTTCCTCAACTTCACTCCTGTAGGTACTGCTCTCTGATGTTGTTCCCAGGTGTTCCCTGACTTCTTCAGATGGTTCAGGTTCAGCATTAGTGCACAGAGGTTTTCCTCCCCACATGCCTGTTAGCAGCACATTCCTCAATCCTGCGATATTTGAATTGTGTTTTAATCTCTCACCATCTCAGGGCGTCCATCACAAAGTCGTCCTTTCCGATGCGCTCATACACGGCTTCTTCAAAGGCATCTTGGGAAATGGAGGAGGACAAATCCATCTGCTTACAGAGGAGGTCTCTCTGCAGAGACGAGAAGACAGACCACAGTTTCTGTTTTTACAACAGGTCCTCCAACACTTTGGGGCTCATGTGTCCTTTTTGTCTAGAATGTCTCCTAAAGCTGTTCTTCAGGTCCTAGTCTCCTAGCTCCTCGTCTGTCTCCTAAAGCTCCTCTTAAGCTCCTTGATGTTTCCTAGCTCCTATGTATCTCCTTCACTGTCTCCTAGCTTCTCTTTGGCTTCTAGACTGTCTCCTAGCTTCTCTTTGGCTCCTAGACTGTTTCCTAGCTCCTCTTTAGCTCCCTGGCACCTCTGTATCTCCTATGCTGTTTCCTAGCTCTTCTTTGGCTTGTAGTCTGTCTTCTAGCTCTTTTGTATCTCCTACACTGTTTCCTAGCTCCTCCTTAGCTCCTAGATTGTCTTCTAGCTTCTCTTTGGCTACCTAAATGTCTCCTAGCACCTCTTTAGCTCCTAGTCTGTTTCCTAAAGCTCTTCTTTAGCTCTTAGACTGTTTCCTAAAGCTCTTCTTTAGCTCTTTAGCTCCTAGTCTGTTTCCTAAAGCTCTTCTTTAGCTCCTAGACTGTTTCCTAAAGCTCTTCTTTAGCTCTTTAGCTCCTAGTCTGTTTCCTAAAGCTCTTCTTTAGCTCCTAGTCTGTTTCCTAAAACTCTTCTTTAGCTCCTAGACTGTTTCCTACCTCTTCTGTATCTCACTGTTTCATCGTCTCCTTCATCGTCTCCTTCACTTCTCTTTATGGACATTCAGACACCTTACGAATCAGCCACATTAACCTTTTCGGCGGCTCCAGCGCTAACTCTCATTATTTCTCTATTTCTCTTTGCATCTTGTTTCCAGAAAATGTTTTTTTGAGTGTTTTCAGAAAGACAAGTGGCAGATTTTAAATTGCTAATCATGCTGTGATTTGTGATAAACATATCCCAAACATTGCAGTTCTGTGTTTCTTTTTCATCTCAGAGGAATAAAGACGACAAACATTATCTGCTGTAAACTCTCGGTGTCGGAGAGCCTTGGCTCGCTGCAGCCTTGATGTTTACAAGCAGCTATTGACAGTAATGCAATAGACTCTTGAGCTAAACCCACTTCCACAGTAAGATGCTTCAAGTGGGAGCTGCAAAACAGTTCATTTTATCAAACCAAATGACAGACGGGAGAAAGAGTGGAGGCTGGAGGCACTGCTCAGAGGCTGCCTTTCAACCATCATCCCTTTTACACTGAATAGATCCTCAGCGCAGGTTCTTACCCAGGAAACAGGAGACGAAGTATGCTGCAGGATGGGACATGGCTCACTGTTTATTAGACCCAGTTTGACAAACCCACTCATGGCCTTGGAGAAACCCTGTGGGACAGAACCGGAGTCACAATGACACATTGACAGGGAATACGATACTTATCATGATACAGGGGTTATGATTCAATACACTGCCATATATTGATACTGTAATTTTTTTAAATCTATTTTTAGGAGCCTACACACGTGGCCTACACCTTTGTGAGCATTTGTACTTGTGTGGTGGTGTGTCTGTGTCTCTCTGCAGTTCGGACCTTTGGTAGAATTTATAACGAATATTCGTTCGCAGCGGGCGGGCGGGGGGGTGGGGGGCTGCGCTGTGCTCGTGCTGCCTGCTCTCTCCGGTTTTACGCCAGACTCGGCTCCTTTCAAAGACTCCTTGCAAAGCACTCCTCCGGGGTTTTTTCAGACCTAACTGTGTTACGGAGTTTTGCACAGTGGCGACCGGATCTTTGCTCTCAAACCACAAAAAAAAAAATGTGATGGCACAACAGTCTCCTTCAGTACATTATTCTATGCTTTCTTTTGATTTTCACATTGGCTAGTCATCCTGTTTAATTTGTCTTCTGATTAAATGGGAACTGTTCAAACAAGTTGTAGGAAGCCTCTGCAAGTAACTGGTTGCTGGCAGACACTGTAGAGTCGATGAACTGCTGGTTCTGCCGGCCTGAATACAATATAATGTCTATAGCCTTACTGCTGTGTACAGCCTTATAGACTGAGCTGAGTAGTGATGCGCGGGTCGACCCGTAACCCGCGGGACCTGCAAATGGACCTGCGGGTCGGGCAGCAGTGATCGTCTGTTAAATCGGTCTGTAAATGATATTTTGATATTATTATTATTATAATCTATTAATCTATAATCTATTACTGTCATGGCATCCGAAGGTACTGATGCGTTGAGCAGGTGACAGTCCGCGGTCGTTTTCAAAACACACTTGTGTCACGCACTCCAAAAGAAACTTGTTGAAACTTTAAACAATAATTTATTGTATAAAACGGGGGAAACAAACGTTGACAAAAACGGTTCCATAATTCATATTAAATTCAAAAAATAACGAAAAAACAGCTACAAGTTAGAGGGAATAGTGATAAAGTGGTAAAACTTGGCATTGATCCACAGCCTCAGACGGATACGCTCAAGCGTGCCAAGCACACAAGCTCAGTTGGTAGGCTATACTATATTTTCACATTTTTAACAATGCAATTTAAAAGTTTGGATTTTTATTGATAACCTACATTTACCAACAACAAAAAGACTACATTTAGCACCAAAAAAAACAACAAAAAAAAACAAAAAAAAAAAAACAAATTTTGAATACCAAATTTTCATAACGAATGCCTACCCATAGAAATGAATATTCGAATATCGAATATTTGGGTACAGCCCTAGTGAAATCCTGAAAATTTACTTGATTCAAAACACACATTAAGCATGGTTTAATAGCAACACTTTCAATTAAAAGAACACACACTGGCTTCACTATAACTCGCAGCATTCACAGACTTGTTTTTATCTGGACACATTTTCCCCCACAAATACAACATGCTAATGTTTTTACATTGTATAAATTAGCCTAGCAGCTAGCAGAGATTTCCTCTGCTCGTATAAAAAAAGGGACAACAGCAACATTTAACAAATGTAACGTTACAAAATTTGGCTCCATTACAACTCACAAAGTTCACTGACAAAACAACTGTCTTATACTAAACACGTTTTCTAAACAAATATAACACGCTAACGTTATTAGCACAAGCCTATGGCATTTCACATGGAATAAATTAGCCTAGTGATGAGCAGAGATTTCCTCTGCAGTTAGACAAATCAAGACATTTTAAAAGCATCAACTTGGGCTGTGATGCACATTTCTTTCTTTCTACATTTTTCTGACATTTCATAAATGAAGCAATTGATTATTAGCTGATTAAAACTGATAATTTGAGAAAACACTCTGTGTACTTGTGTAGTAGTAATGTGTACTACTACACATTAATCAATAATGACAGTAATTTTTAGTTGCAGCCCTAAACATCAGTTTGAGATTAATTAAGAAAAGATCAAACTTCTGAAAAAAAATTCTAACAAATAAAGCTGACAGCCTAAGTTTACAGGGTCAGTGTGTGATTGTGTGTGCGAGTGTGTGTATGTGTTGTACCCTGAAGCGCAGCGTTCCTCTGATCAGTGTGTGTGCAGACTGGATGCCGTAAGGCTCGGCGTACTTGGTGCTGTCGCGGTTTGGAAATCCCTCCAGGTTGAAACCAGGAAGGAAATCCATCGGCGTGGTAGACTCCATCAGAGCGCCGCCAGCCGGGATGCTCACCACCTGGACAAGACAGACACACACACACACACACACACACACACACACACACACACACAGATTCAGTTTCTCCTCCTGAGTTCAAGCGCTGTAATTGCAGGAAAACATTTTGCATGATAATAATTTCTGCTCCTGTGAGGCCTCTGTACCTCGTTGTCTCTGAGGAAGATGGCGGGGCTGATGGTGTTTAAGAGGACGCCATATGGACTCCAGCTGAACTTGTAGCGAAGAGGATTGTCTGAACACTCTGGAGCAGGAAGACCTCCACAGAACGAGCTGTAGGACTCCACCTGAACATTTAGGGTCAAAACATACGGTATGTATCAAGAACTGAAAGTTTATAAACTCTGAACCTGAGATCTCCCTTACATAAACCTGCATTTTTCAACTTTTACATTTGGTTCTTAAAGAATAATGACCCAGATATTCGGCGAGTGAGACATTTTACAGTGAAAAACAAAACGTGTGCTTCTTGACGGAAAACCTTGAAAAAATGGAGACAATATTGAGCTGAAATATTCTCAGACATGTCTGGTTACTTATCAGTGTGTTTCATTTATTGTATTTTCAATGTGCATATTGAGCTGGAAAAAATAAAATTAAATGAAATTAAAAAAAAACCAGCAGAATGTTTGTACACCAGGCAGAGGTAGAAAAATTGGAGTAGCAATAAAAAGAAAATGTACCAAAGTGCAGTGGAAACAGACGGAGCAAATAAATCATGACGTACATGAAGCATGTGACATCTTACTGAAGACAAATGGCAGCAGACTAAAACATCAGATCACATGTGGAGTAATGAGAAGACTGTAACCTTCCTCACATTAATGCATAAAAACATGTCATATGTCATATTTCCATCATGGTCTCCGTCGTTTGAGCTTTGACTTGAGCTCTTTAATGACATCATCTCGTTGTGTCTTCTTCCTCTGTGGTTTTATGCCACTGACCGGAGAATTAGCTCCACCAGCTGTTTAAACATATGCACCAACTCAGAACATTTACATAACAGTAATGGATAAAAACGTGCATTCATTCTCATTTTCTTTTGCCAACATTATGGAAACTGAATGCTTTGGCACAGTGCATGATGCGATATAATGCTTGGTTAGCCACCCTGGTTATACACTACTTTTCACGGTGCATTGTGGGATACTTTGCGTCCACTATATAGGGTATAATATTCCCACTATACATTCGGACAGCACTGCAAAATGGCAGTCACTATATAGCGCAGTGACTCCCAACTGGTGGGTCCCGAGTCCATTCTGAATGGACTACAAGTGACTCGGGACTGTGTCAAGTTTGTAAAAGATGCACTCTTTTTTGAAGTACATTTAATTTCGGGCACAGAGCTTTTACTGTGAAGAGAGAGAGTGAGTGACTAACAGACAGCTACGTGACAGAGACAGCAAACTAGCTCCACGATATGGCTGAACATAAGTATGACACTGAATGAATTCAACTGTGTGGACATTCAACTACTGACTAAGGAGAAATCTGGACCCCGTGGCTGGACCAGTTGGGAACCACTGATATAGTGGACTATATAGTGAGTTCAGCGCTTTGACTTTGGGTCGACTTGGCTCTGTCAGAACTTGAACCAGGTCCTAATTTACATACACATGTTTAATCACAGGTCAAAGGTCTTTTTAGGTTCCTGGTTCAGGTGCTGACTGATGAAAAACAAACTGTGTGACGTCGTCTGTTTCTGAACAAAAACCTGTGTTACAGCAGTGTGAACATGTGGACTGTCAGTGTGTGTGATGGATCAGTATGTGACTGCATTTGCGCACACACACACGCACACACACACAGTCAGAGTGTTTGCTGACTCACGGTGCAGCCGTCAGCTTTGGCCTTGTCGATACACTCCATGGCCAGCATGTGATCGATACCCGGGTCCAGTCCCATCTCATTCACTATGGTGATGCCCGCCTCTTCCGCACTGACACATACAAAATCACACACACATAAGGTTTTAATCAAATTTTCATTAAACACACACTGGATCAACAATAACAAACTTCTTTTGAATGTGTCTAAAACAATTAGTGTGGTAATTAGCTCAAACTTTTCTCCAGGTTCAAAACCAAAGCTCGATCTCAATGACACGTCTCTCCTTAATGACATGTTAATGAAGCAAGTAGAAGAATCCAAACTTTTTGAAGTTATCACAGAAAATAAACTCTCATGGGACAAACAATTACAGAACGTGGTAACTAAAATGGGAAACACTTTATCTGTAATTAACAGATGTGCAAAACATCTGACACAACAAATTGTCAAACAAGTAATTCAAGCTTTGGTTTTGTTCCACCTTGATTACTGTTCAGCAGTTTGATCAAATACCTCATTATGCAATATAAGAAATTATCCAAAATCAGGCGGCACATGCAGCTCTGTCGTGTGGGTTGTGAACAAATGTCGCTAAAATGCACGAATGTCTCTCTTGGGTTGAAGTGAGAAATAGACTCACTAAACTCAATAAACCCACTGATGGTTTTCATTTTGAGTGTCATAACAACAAAGACTCTTTTAATTTCTTGTAAAAATTCTCTCCAATTTTAGACACACAGTTATTTAACAAGGCACGCTGCTGGGGGTTGTTTTACTTTACCAAAATCCTAAACCACATCAGTCCAATGTGCAGGAATATATCGAGCAACGCAAGAATGGAGTTCATTTCCAAATCATATTATCCATCAATCCATTTTCACCCACATATCTGAGGTTGGGTCGCAGGGGCAGCAGACCGAGCAAAGCACCCCAGACGTCCCTCTCCCCAGCAACGCTTCCCAGCTCCTCCTGGAGGACCCCGAGGTGTTCCCAGGCCAGGTGGGATATATAATCCCTCCAGTGTGTTCTGGGTCTGCCCCGGGGCCTCCTACCAGTGGGACGTGGCCGGAACACCTCTAACAGGAGGCGTCCAGGAGGATCCTGATCAGATGTTGAACCACCTCAACTGACCCTGTTCGACTTGAAGGAGCAGCGGCTCTACTCCGAGCTCCCTGTGGATGTCTGAGCTCCTCCCCCTATCTCTAAGGCTGAGCCCAGACACCCTACGGAGGAAACTCATTTCAGCCACTTGTATCCGCGATCTCATTCTCTCGATCACTACCCAGAGCTCATGACCATAGGTGAGGGTTGGGACGTAGATGGACCAGGAAATCAAAAGCTTTGCCTTCCGGCTCAGCTCCCTCTTCACCACGACGGACCGGTGCAGCTCCTGCATCACTGCAGAAGCTGTGCCAAACCGTGATCCATCTCACACTCCATTCTACCCTCACTCATGAACAAGACCCCGAGATGCTGCGATGCAAAAGCTAATGAGGATCTTAATAAACAAACAAACAAACAACTACTAGACTAAACCAGTTAATTTGGTTTAAATGTTGTTTTCTGTTTAAACGCCTTATTTTGGTGCTATTTTGTTTATCCAGTTTGTTAAGTCGAGTTCTGTCACAGTTTCAACTGTGACCTGCCTGATGGACCGACCGCACATGAAAAGTCTGTTTTAAGCCAACTCTGGTATAATAAATCAAATGGTAACATTTCGTTTCATACTGTACATGGCTCCTTATGAATAAAATAGAATATTCATTTCATATTAATCTATTATTTAAGGATCCCCTCCACCTGTTTTATCTTTGTCTGTTGTGCAGCTCACCTGCTCTGCAGCTCCTTCATGGCAGGACTCAGGTAGCTCGCTGTCACCATGTTGACCTTCCTCTTGATGCAGTGTTTGGCGATGAGCGGGTGAAGCGAGTACGGCAGCATGCTGAGGAGCAGAGGGAGGAGGTGAGGTCAGGACAGACGGCCGATGAATTTATCACACTGGTGAAAATAGCCTGACAAGCTGAGCATGAGATGCCTCACAGGGCTGATGTGGAGGCTTCATAGCAGCCCATAAAGAAATAAGAGTATGCAAACACCAACTTTCATTGGCTGTGAGGGCTGTTGGATTTTAACTTCAGTTTACTGAGGACCAGAACTCAGTTTTTTCTATACATGAATTTCATCACTTGGAGGCTAACTGTCAAAAGGGTTGAGCTAACTATCCAATCGCCAGGCACTAATTTTTCCATGTCGTGTATGGAATCATGATTCTTTGCCCTAGAAATCTGGGGTTTTAAGGAGTAATGTTATACACTACTGTTACAGTCCCCACACAGTTCACTGTAGCTCACCTGTTAGCCTGCTGCCAAACCGTACCACAAAGCACAGCTAGCCACCTCACTTCCTTTAGCTCAGCCTGCCTTCACCTCAGTTACAGCAACTAGCTACAGACCATCAACATCATCACCATCATCATCACCATCTGTATTAACTTCAAAATTGCCGGCAGTGAGAGTAATAACACAACCACTACTGACCTGTTTTTGGGACATTATGCTGATTGGCTGGTCTCACACAGCCAGCAGCTCCGAAAATGTTGCCGCAAATTTTCAAATAGCCGTTGTTTGCATAAACTAACCACATACTGGGACTGTTAATAAGTTATAGTAGTTTTTAAGGTGAGAGTGTAACCATTTAAAGCTTTAAAAAACAGCTTCTTGTCACGTAAAGGATGATAAAGGATAAAGCTGGCAACACTAACAAAAGTAATCACACCTCCGGTCTCAATCTCAAGTAAGAACACAGAAACACTAAATACGAAGGTACCGTAGTTGAGGTAAAGAAAAAGGTGAATAGGCCGAATCACTGTGACATCACACGAACAAAACAGTCACTTCCAGCTGGCATTTAAATACAATTGGGGAGACACACAATATCGGCACACTTGTTGATTTCTGTCGTCATTTTCATTTGTAATTTTAACATTTAAAGATATATAGTAATACACAGTGGGCCAACCTATCTGTTGTTTTTCGTATTTTAGCCACGTTAAAGTGGAGTTCAGTGTAAGAGTGCGCTTTATTTGAATATCTGCTCCACTTTACACACTAACCGCTGATAAAAGTTGGGGTAGACAAGCAACTCCAGTGTTCTGTGAAGTGAAGTTACTGTTTTTATCAAAAAGAGATTGGAGGCTATGAAATATTGTAAATGTAGTGAACACTTAAACTGAGGTTGATCTTTTTGGCCACCTTTTCTTAGGTGGCTAAAAATAATTCAACCGAAGCATCGTTTGCTCAGATTTTCTGTACATGACACGAGTTATTGTGAATAACCATTGTGATTCAGTCTAGCGCTCAGTGTTAATCACCCAAAAATAATTGGGTCCATTTAAAGTCGACTTTAGAGACCCTGAAAAAATAAAAGGACATGTGACAATGCTGTCAAAGATTTCAGGTTTACTAGTAAAAGAAACGACCCCCACATGTTTCATCAGTTTGTGTGTCTGCCTGCCTCGAACAAAACGTTCTATTTCACAGCCTGACTGCAGGATGTGCTGTACCTGATGACTAAGTCATGATCTTTGACCAGGGAGTCCAGGTGTCCTTCCTGGCTGCCAGCGTCCAGCATGACGGGGATGGTGTTGGGATATTTGGCTGCCAGCTCCTCTGCCTGCTTCAGCAGCATCGACGCTGAGAAAAGAAACCACAGTGAACACAGTCAGTGTGAGGGTCGTACAACACAGGGTTCAGAAGAAGTTTCCTCTGGGATAAACAATTGGATATATGGGCTGCCTGCAGTTATGATTACAACCCTATAGGCCCTAGGCGTTTTTGGGGTATTTTTTACTGCCTTTACTTCTAAGCTCATATCACAGTCATTATAAAGGCTACATACACATGCTATATCTTGTTTTTTTCAGGACAATCTGGGCTAACCAGATTTGCCATCATTTCATGTCCTTCTATGTGCCTGTATTTTATATTAATTTTTATATCAATGAAAAAAACAAATCCGTGTGACTAAATTCTTACATTTTTACATGTATCTCAGCATAGCAAGTTGGAAGTTGACATATTCTGCCATATATGAAGAGGGGAGACTCTCTGGAATCTGGCAATATAAGAACCATGATGCTGGGACATTCTGTCACTTCACAGTCGTCCAAAACATGTGGTTTGTGCCAGGCGGACATGATTGCCAGCATTTTATCATTATTGCAAGAAATTCCATTGACTCATTCACAAGTCAAAAATGTGTTTTATCTGAAAGAAACATGAAATATTTACATCTAAGATCATAGAAAAATAGTCAACCAAGTGCAATGATGTCCTCTAAGATAATATTTGTTTTTCAGTTTCAGTTATATACTGGGGGAACATTTTGGGCATTGGTGGGGGGGCACGTGTCCCCCTCAATGTATATGGTGACTACGGCCCTGTCATGCATGCATAATTAGGCTGCAGTTGTCTGGGTGCGCAAAGGTGAAGTGCGCTGGTCTTGTCATACAAAGTTTGATGGTCAACTGGACAATATGGAAATATTTGCATCTTGAAAGCCGGACTACAAATGTGGATAGACAGGGAGAAACACAAGCAAGCCTAAGACGTGGTAAGATACGATATTCCTCACTATATGAAGTGACTGATAACAAGATCTGTATAATGGATTGTAAAGGAATTCGTCAGGTTTTTATTTTGTAGACAATTGATCTGTATTTATAGTGTGATGGGATGACAGTACATCACTGGAAAGAATCACTGGAAAGCTCTGCTCCTGCACTTTCATGTGATATGCGTGGCATTTCTGTGCGACCCTGCGTTCGCGAGTAATCCATCCAACAGTAATGTGTGTGCAAACAAAGCTGTATGAAAGCTGTTATACATAATTTTAGTGTAAATTTATCTTTTATTTCGCTGTGAAAACATTGGACTACCGACAAGTGCTTGGTCTTGTCGGAAAGCTGTTTCACGTGATATGCGTGGCTTCTCGCTAGGACGAACGGTCGCGGAGAAAATCAACAGAGAAGAACAGGTGTGAATTTGGACGCACTATGCGTCGTTCGGGCCCATAGGGTTAATAAATTACATTTTATGTAATGAAAAGGAGACTAGTATGTACTGAAGTCCTGCTGGCAGCCATGTGAGGCTTCATTGTTAATTACAGAACAACACACTGATGATTACAAAGACAAGAAAGGTTACAGTGACCTTGACTTGACCTTTGACTAATCACCACCAAATCCTACTGAGTTTATTACTGACGTTTGTGCCAAATTTCAATAAATTCCTTTGAGGTGTTCTTGAGATATCACAGTCACAAGAATGAGAGAGCTGATGTCACAGTGACCTTCACCCTTGACCATCAAAATCTAATCAGTGCATCCTGAAGTCCAACTGTACATTTGTCTCCATTTTGAAAACTTCTCTCAAGATTGAGACATAACGTTTACAGTAATGCGACGTACGTATAAATAAGTACAGGCAACCAGAAAACAAAGCCTCTGGCAACGGCTGTAGCTGGCAAGGAGGCACAAAAATAATAAAGTACAAGTAAAAGCCAGTTTCATTTTCTAATGCAAACTTGTTGATGCAAAGTGGGCATTCAAACTAAAACTATGATGTGACCTATTTCAAATGACACATCACTTTTATAGCTACTCAGAGTTTGTAAGACAGACTCACCAACAGTGACCTGGGTCCTCTCATCGCGAGTCAGATACTCAACCACAGGTCCGGAGACGTATCCTGAACCCAGCAGCAGAACACGCTTCATCCCGCTCTCCTTCAGGATCTGAGCCTTCTCCCTGAAGAGCGTTAGACACACCGACTTAGAAACCCTTCATAAAAACTTCAATACATCAAACAGCAGTGGGTCTTTCTGTCTGTGACTCATGTAACAGGATGTTTAACTCTGAGCTACAAACTCACACAAAAATAAAGCAATAGCACAGGTTTCTAAAGATGAAAACACCACAACGAAAGTTATCACTTTAATTAAATGATCTGCAAAACATTTCATCAAATTTTCTTTCCGATACAGAGATTTTAATCAAGATATGTTTCACCCATAAGTGTTACCGTCCTTGTGACTGAGCAGAAATAAAAAGAAAATGATCCACTCCACTTTGGCTCTTCACACATTTTGGTCTTTGACAGAAAAGCTATCAACACTGCATTATTGTGGGGCTGCTACATTCAACGGAAAGTTTCTCCTGCCACTTTTTCTGAATGTACAACTTTAGATTAACATAAATATACAGTATTTATGTTCTTTAATTTCAGTGAAGTAATGTCATGGACAAAGTGGTGTCTGGCACAGCACCTACGTGGAGGTGCAAATATAAGGGAAAAAAAATATAGCAGGTGGTATATATAGGACGGTACAATAAGCTGCACAACAGAGAAAAAGAAAATAAACACATTGTACTAAAAAAAGCATATTCACCTGTTTTGTTTAAACATTATTAAAGGTCCAGTGTGTAAGATTCAGGGAGATTTAGTGGCAGGTTTTTACCAGGAGCTGGATTACCTCTCAGAAACAAACTGTGAACACTGAATTAAGCAGCAAACTGTGTGTTCAGGCGCTCATCACAGAGAGGCTACTAACTACGATGGCCGACGCAAAAATGCAAACGTCCCTATCTAGAGCCAGTGTTTGGTTTGTCCGAAACATGGCGGTGCAACATGGTGACCTCCGCAGATGAGGGCTCATTCTAAGGTAACAAAAACACAATTCTTATTTTCAGGTGATCATACACTTAAGAAAACCAACTTATTATATTATATTCCATTCCTATTAATATATCCTCCTAAAACCTGCACACTGGACGTTTAAATCACAGCTTAAAATTACTCTTATTAGAAAAACTGACATCAATTTGTCTTTGATACTTTTTGAATATTTGCAGCTTTAAAGTTTGATAAAACTTTGAAAGTTTTCTTGAAAGAATCAGTGAAATTACAGGTGATTTTACTGAAACAAGTGCTATAAATGTTGGATTTCAATTTAATACATAAGCCTTTGTTTTTGAATAACTAGCTAATTGTTTTTTTTTTTATTTCATATATCTCAGAATCACAACGTCAAAGTTTTTTGATCAAACAGTATCAGTGTGACTGATGAGGTTGTGGCCTGAACCCAGATGAGAGGAACGGAAGGGTGAGCAGAGATGGGAGGGGATCGCCTGAAAAATAAATACATTAAATAATTAATTAAAAATAAAAAATAGAGTAAAATGTGTAGCGATTTCCTGATTGTCTTTTTTTTTAAAATAAATTCAGACAACTATGTATCACTGTCAGGGTTGGTATTACAGTTACAGAAAACAAAAAAATATGTGAAATTAAAGTTTTTACACCTGTAACATCTTAAAACCAAATGTGCCTGTATATTAATGTATATATCTCATAATGTGTTTCACATGTGATGTCTTACATATCATTTGGCTTTATGATTCTTTTTTTTTTTTTTTTTTTACATGTGAAATGTATTTTCTTGTGTTAAAAATTCATGGTAAGTATTACTAATATTAAAAATATCAATATTTTGTTAAAAATATACCTGTTAGTAATAATTCATGATAAAAAAGGAGTAAATGTGTAAAGTTCTTTTCCCTGTTTTTTTTTTTTTTTTTTTTTTTTTTAAAATAAATTCAGAAAACTACATGTAACATCCCTAACCCAAACGTTTCGCATGGGATACCATTAGGTTATATGTGATTTTTTTTAAAAATGTATATATATGTGGGAAATCAGAATCAGAATCAGAATAACTTTATTGTCCTCAGAGAGGAAATTTGTCTTGAACAACAAACAAACAACAAATGTTTTTTTTATGTGTTCTATGAATTCAAGTAATTTTTTAAAAAATATTTATATTATTACTTATATTGTTAAAAATATAGCTGTTAGTAATTTATATTACATTAAACATTAACAAAAACTATAAAGTTCCTGGTAAAAATAATGATATTAATTTCAGTAATAGCAGGCTGGTATTTATTTATCAATTTATTTCAAACAGTTAAGAATAAAAATACTGGTAACCTCAAAGTAATACTACAATAATAATTATCATTATTATTCAATTAAATACTAAAACTATTTTTACTGTTTTTCTGCACTTTTTCTAATTAACAATCCAAACTTTAGGAAGAAAAAAGTTTGTAATGTTTTCTACAAATATTCTCTGAACTGAACAAAGTGAGGATTAAATGTAATAAACAGAATAAGAAGTTTAGAATCTGTTTCAGGTTTTTTTACACTGTCAACAAACTGTTTTGCACCGAGCCCCGTAGAGAGAAAGAAGCCACGTGACTCCGCTGCACCAAGAAGCTCTCGGGCCTTTTAATTAAACTGAGAGGTCGTCTCCAAACAACTGGAGTCAGTTAAAAAGTCTGTGATTTTGCATGCTGGATTATCTTTACACCATAACAACAATAACACCATAATGGAGGCATCAGCCTGAGTGACCTGTGGCATTAATATCCCACCACCAACTGCCTCAAACCCCCCAGGAGTCAGAGCCCAGGACTCGTTAGCTTTGGTCTAATTGGATGGGACACTGCACACATACACACAAGTCGCAGCAGGACTGGCTGGACGTCCGACCGGCGGTCCGCCCGCCGCCGAGCCTTATCCTCTTAATTAAAAAAGAAAAGAGAGACGTTCCCTCAGGAGGATTTCTCCCTCACTTTACATATCTTAAGGAGCCAAACTCAGTGAGAAGGATTAAGATTTAGCTGCATGGCTTGTCTGGAAAAAATGATACTTAAGATCAATTAGGAAAGAAACTCATCAGGTCTCAGAGGTGGCCTAAATATGAGCAAACACAACTCTTCTGTTTGTCTGTTGACACTTGAGTCTCAAGAAGAGAAATCTGTTTACAGAGACCCTGAAGAGCAAATCTGACCTGAGCCTGAATGTTTATAATCTGAGGAAACAAACATCGTAAGTGTAAACATCAGGGTTATGTGGTTAGAATAAATCTGACGGGCTCATTAAAGTGTTTATTGAGCTGACTGAAGCTACAGATAAGCAGCGAGGTAAAAGAAATGTATAACTAATTCATAAAATAATCAAAGCAGATTAAAAAGATAAAAATGAATAAGAAACAGATGCTGATGAAGATTTTACAGATTTGCAAGTAAATGATAAAAACATGCCGATGAATAATTTGTTTTCGGTCTTATACAAAGACAGACGTGGAGATCAATTTCATCGCTGTGCGTCCAGTACAGAGTCAGGTTGACTACAAGTTTAGTCTACATTAGCACAAAAACTAGGGAAACTGCTAGCCTAGCTCCACCAAAACTAAAAAGCAAGAAACTGGCAGCACCAGCAAGAACAACAGCCATCTGGATACAGATAATTAAAACAATAAAACAGTCTCCTTGAGAGCAACTGACTAGCTAGCTAACTGAGCTGCTAAATCTAGCAAAGTCACCAGGTTGGCAACAGATTTGAGGATGGTTTCCTGTGGTGCACGCTTTGCAGACACAATTATGACAATAATTAGTTGAATTAGATTGTATGGTGACTTTGCGGCCTCTTTGCCAACCGGTTTGTTGACACTGTTCATGTGGACACACTGTAGTCCTCCTCAGAGATATAAAGCTAGCTCAAGGCACAGGATGGTTTTAGAATTGTGGGAAGATGGATTTATTTCTCTGTTAATGGAGAGAGGCCAGCAGTTTCAAGTCTCTGTGCTAAGCTAGGCTAAACATACCATACATCAACCTCTGCACTGAATGCACAGAAATTAACCTGATATTCATCTTCTCATCTGACTCTGCTGAAATTTAAATCTAATAAAACTAGACGAGACAAGACAGACTGATGGGACAGAGTGGGTGACGGCGGTTTTTATATAAAGTGAGAAGAAAAGTTGTTTCTACCCCTCGATACCCAAGGGTCCAGCATCTGACGTCGGCTAGCAGCTGCGGCTTATTAGCACGCTAGCCATGCAAGGTGTTAATGCAGAGGCAGGAGGGCAGAGCAGACACCAGAGGGCAGCACTGTGCAGGAACAACGACAGGGTGACTGTTAGTCGCTACGAGTCCAGCTCACAGAGCTGCTGGCTGGCTGGAGGTCACTAAATCATCACAAACTGCAACGCTAAAGAGGGTGAGTTAAAGAGGGGAAACAGAAAAACAGGAGACTACAAAGCACAAACAGACCCTTTTACTGTTAGTAAAGAGTATTATGTTTTCTAGTGGGCAGGGCTTAGCTGGAGGCAAAACAATTCTCAACAGACATTAGCTAGCGCTAGCTTGCGATTTTTTTTGGCTTGTTTTAGACAATGGAGGAAGATGATGTGAGTGGTGGATTGGGAGATACTCATTCCCAGTGCTGGAGAGCACTATGGCACAAACTGGACCAGAGCTTTCAGAATGTAGCGTTGGGTTATCCAGAGCAGCGCACTCTCAGAGTGGCAGAGCGCACTCTGGACACTCTGTCTGTGGAGACGGAGCAGCAGAGCGCCGAGCGCAGTGAATGTGTGATTAACTTAACCGTTGGTTCATTCATGTAGAAATATAACGCTGCGTTTCTTCCACCAACAGGGCTCTCATTTTAGTGTAGAGCGTCAGACTGAATTTACCAACGCACCATGTCAGGTCACTCACTCTCCGGGACCGCCAGTGTTACTTGAATAAGTAAACACTGACCAACGGGACCAGACTGGCCGACCCGTATGCTCTCACTCAGTGGATGGATGATGTCACAGGAAGCCAATCTTACAAAGGAGGACCACACTTGTTTGTTTTGCTATGGAAGCTAACGTTAGCTAATGTGCTAAAAAGTTAGCGTTGCAGAGAAATCCAATCTTCCTCTTAATCCCTCCCCAGTTTCTGATGAGGTGGACATGATAACCCTTAATACACATAACCTTATTCATCCCTACAACAGGAAATACTTTTTCCCTAACCTGATATGAAGTGTGCGCTGCACATGTGAGCATTTTTGATGATGGCCTCCGTCCAGTCCTTTGGTCTTATCACATTTAACCATAGTTGTCTTTGTTTTTGTTGACGGGCAGTGGCGGCTGGTTTTGAGCCATGACTCCTTCTATTCTGGCTCCCAATAACACAACAAGACAAACACATTTTAACACTCCTATGGAGCCTACAGCCCTGTGGGGGAGAGTCCTGTTTTGCCTCCAGCTAACAAACCGACGTCATTGTGACGTCGACCCTAAAAGGGTCTATATCACTTAGCTTTTAGGAAGCTGCTACCAACAGTAATGATTAAACACTACAGTACAGGTGAGCTACGTTAGAACACGAGAAACAGATTTTAAACGTTACCTGTCTCGCAATCTTTACACATTTCATCCATACATTGGTCGCATTAACTCATAGATGGAGCAGGCATGTGCCAAAGTTTTGACATTTTTATGAATAATTCACATGAGAAACAACGAAAGCTTAATTTCAAAAGCATACAGCGTGCACCAAATACAGCATTTAACAGACATACTGTACAATACACTCACAGTGTCAGTGTGAAATAAGTCTTACCTTGTTTCTCGAAGCTTTTGAATGTATTCAAACTTTGGGGTGAGGACTCCGTTTGAGGTGATTATAGCCTTCAGGAACAAAGAGATGACGTCAGATGTTATAAAATGATTCTTCATTTTCAATCATTTGCACTAAAATAATATAGGTCTTGTCAAATATGTAAATATATAAATAAAGATGGTATGTAAATAAGGTTATGGAGACCTTGGCCTTTTGTTACTAAAAAATACATTCTTATTCAAAATCATGCTCCACCCAAAATCTATCTTCAAAGAATTAAACACTGAATACATTTCAAATGTCTGTTTTATCATTCATGCATCACAATGGCACGACGACTGGCTGCTAGTGGCAGGGATAACGTCACAGGACTGTAAACCTGAGTTGGTGATTGTTGAAACAGTGGACTAACTAACTAACTAAACCTATAACAAGACTAACCAAGATGCTTAGCGCTGCTCATCGTGGACTATATTGCTGTCATTGTTCATTTTAGTCAAAGCATACAGTTTGAAAACGAGGCGCGGCTCCAACTAGAAAACAATGTTTTGATGCATTGGATGTGCTGAATGTGCATATTAAGGCAGTACAGGAGGAGGTGCACATTAATAATCCTCCAGGACTGTAACATGCTCATGTTTAAC